GGGGGGGGGGGGGGGGGGGGGGGGGCGTACTGATGTCTTGCACGCCTTGGCGAATAGACCATTGACCACGCGTCCTCGAGAGGACAGACCAGAGTGAGATTCTTCTCATGGGTACAGACAACACTAAATCGATGCATGGGCAATCGCACCGTTCTGCTCAGCAGAGGCTTGAAGGTGACAGAAAAAGAAAGCATGAGTGCTTCGAACGTAGATATATTGTTTGGCAAAATAATTTCTCGCGCCACGACACCACCAGCATTATCCATATTCCATTTTCTCACGTGCGCTGTCCGGCCGATGTACTCGTCCACTCCCCCGCCCCCGGCGTTTGGCTGTCTCTCTCCTCCCCACAGATGCAGTCGATACAAGCTTTCGTCGTTGATGGGCTCAAGCAGAGCTCTCGCCATTTCACACACCACCTACAGACAAATCATGAACCGAAAGCGGCAGCGGAGATGGGCCGCGGGGATTGGGGCGAATATTTTCAGGAGAAACATACAATAGGGCGAAAATCTTTACGAGCCATACGGCGATGCTCACTCCAGTTAGCAGCCTACACCACCNGGGGGGGGGGGGGGGGGGGGGGGGGGGGGGGGGGGGGGGGGGGGGGGGGGGGGGGGGTCACCGTCCACTCGGAAAACGAAATACGGCGTACGTGATGGATCGACAATACCCTGTAAATAGTGATTCCGATCTGCTCGGACTTGGAACATGAACATCTTGGAACATGAAGACAACATCTCAGCAACCAAAGGAGCGCCCAAAGAATAACGCACGCCAACAAAACGCTCCCCGGAGCAGAAAAACGCCTACCGCTTGGCACAAAAACACACACGGACCAAGCGTCTTTTCATTGGTCAGCCGATTAGCTGGGTNGCTAATAATAAAAGCACACACAGCTAATAATAAAAACACACACACAGCGCGGCGAAACCAGGTGAGAAATGTTGTACGGCAACAAGATCAACAAAAAGCATCGCTCAGCACCCACACCCTCTGCTAGCCACCACCGTCCTCTCCACCTATCCTCCTCTGTGTTGCCCTCGACCAAGCCAAGAAGAAAGAGAAGGCGGTCGGTCTGAGAACAGAAACAACTAAACCAAAGTGAACGCAGTACAGACTACAACAGACACCCAACGCATGGCGTGTAGCGGTGGACTACACACGACTAGACACCAGCTACATACACACGAGGAGGAACTTAAAATTCACATTACACCGCTTCAGATCTGGGTGAGGCTGAGACGTTGAGTATACGATACCAGGAATACACCAGGCAAAAGCCAAAGTGGTTTGGTTCAGTTCATGCTGCGGAGTCACGAGGCTAGCAACATGAGCTATACTGTCACGCTTTGTGGTCTTGTACACGTCAACAACTTTACACGCTTTCTCTCTCTCAAGGACCTGACAGCTATCCCGACTTTCGACTAACTTGCCTGTCCGTGCGGCACCTCTCTCTTGGCATCGCGTAGGGACGCATCGCACATCTGTATTCTGGCAGACTGAGATGGGACGTAGCCGTCCTTATCCGCCGAGACCAGCACCACATGCCTGGGGGGGGGGGGCGGAATGGCGGGGCACCGCAAAACCGAAGCAGCACACAAAACAAAAAAATGACAGGTGGAACGAGGAGGTGGTTGGGGCAAAATCAAACGACCTGCGTCGTACCACACAAAATCTGGGATGGCATGTGGTACCATACTTTCTCCCCTCCACAACCGTGAGAACCGCAGCACGGCCGGCACATTGGACGATCCATGCGGCATCAAAACCATTGTTCAACAAAAAGACGCAAAGAGGCCGAGACGAGACGCACCGAAAGTACTCCAGCCCCGGCTGCTGGCTGAGCCAACACAGGAGGGTATCGCGAGGCCGGGGGGCATCCGTTAGACTCAGTTCTTCCAAGAGAGCGCTCTTCGTCCACCTGTGGGTCGTGAGCGCCACCGCCATCATTTCGTCGTCATCTTGGTTATCATCATACAAAAATCGCCGCTATGGCATCATCATCATTGTCATCTCTCCACCGCGTGACCCCGTCACGCTGTGTCCAGAACGTCAACCGAAACATGTCAAGACTGTCGTCCAAAGAAATAACAACCAGGTCCACACACGTGTACGCAAAACACACACGAAGAAGCGCTTCCTATTGAAAGTCGCGATGACACTGATGCATTTTTTAGCTAGCGCGGTCGATGCTAACAACAAACTCACACGCACACATACACACACATACTTCCGCCACTCCCCCCCCCTCTCCCGTCAAGCCGCCAACACACCAACACCCCCCCCACCTCTTCATTGCCCACATTCCCGTCCTCACGATCCCGCTCGCCCCGTACACCGTTCCCAGGTGCGGGGACCCCAGCGACACGAACATGTGCAGCCGACCCAGCGCCGGCTGCAGGGATGGAGAGGTAAGCGCCACCCGAATGATGACAGCCCCCGCGCTGTGGCCGATGAACGACAGCCGACCCTGGCCGCCCGGTAGGAGAAGGCTCCGCGCTCGGACCAACAGAAACCTGGTGTAAGCCGTCCCGAGGTTCCGTTCCGTCCCATGGTTTCGTTTGGTGTCGTTGTTTCGTTCCCCGTTGAGGTCCATTCCGTTCCGTTTCGGTTCGTTTGGTTCCGTTTCATTGTTTGGTTCCGTTTCATTGGTTGTTCCGTTCCGTCCATTCCCACGTGTGTGAGAGGCGATTCACAGACGGAACAGTGGGCATCCGTTGTCCCGTCGTCCGTTCGTTCAGTCCATTCCCGCGTGCGTCGTGCCCAATAGAAGGGGAGAGAGATTCCAAAGATGAACAGGCAGGCAGAGAGAGAGAGAGAGAGAGAGAGAGAGAGAGAGGCGGGGACAGAGAGATATTCATAGAGAGAAAGATAGCGACAGATAGAGACAGATAGAGAGAGAGGGAGAGAGAGAGAGAGAAAGAAAAGAGGTAGACAAGGTACAGTTAGGTGCGGCATGATGTACATACGTACGCTATGCGTCCTCAAGGGTGCCGAGGGACTGCTGCTTCAGCCTCAGGGGCACGGCCAGCTAATTGTAGCAAGTGTGGTGTTTCTCAATGAGCCCTCAAGCCCGCTGCCGCCTGCGGCTTCATGACATGATGCACACCAGTGTGCATAACATGTCAGCGCATGGCTTGGGCGATGAGGCGTGGCGGACCGCAAACTACGTTTAATATGCATGCATGTCTTGCAATAAACAAGCACGGTGCCTCCGGACCAGTTGGAAGCATACCACCAGGTTTGATTGCCAACGCCCCTCCCCCGCCCGGTGTTTGCCATCGGGGTTGGGGTTTCGTCACTTGGCAACGACGTTGTGAATAAAACAACATGCCTATCACTTCGTGAGTTCGGCAACCAGGATACCTTTTTTTTTTCTGCGGTAACCATATTGGTGGTCGAGTAGACTATATGTTGTGCGGCGTCGAGAACCCTCACTCCGCGCAAGGGGGATGATCGCACCACGTTGTGCTAAGTTCGTCAAGCACCCCCGAGGAAGATACACGGTGCTTATTACTGTCTCTGGAAGTGAAAGCACCAGAAGACAAATTAAGTCATTGGCAGCTGTGGTTCGTACGCATGCCGAACACCCTTCGCAGGATGAAGCGGACCCCCCATGCGACTCGCCGAATACCTCACAGCGCTTCGCGCTTGGTGATGTGAGAGCCTGGTCCGCCTATCAAAAACCCGGCTTGCTCCGTCCCGGCTTTTGTAGGGATGCGAGGTCAATGGTCTAACGGCTACGCCGTGCACGACTATGAGTACCCTCCCCCGCCCCCCCTTACAAAAGCATAAACATGCATGGTGCGTCTGCCTTTCTCTCTCCCTCTCACCGGTGCACCTCCTTGGCGAGCTTTTCCCCCATCATCTTCATCGACGCGTGAGGGTCCCGCTCGTTGGACTCGGCGTTCAGCACCAGGGCGTCTGGCGCAAGAATCCTGACGTAACGAAAAAACGGTAGATATACCATGTCGGAATGAGCGTGAAGGTGCGAGCACAAAGCGGCATCATCACCTCTGATGGGCTAAGGGTTCTGGCTGTTTGTCCGCAAGCACAGAAGCTTCCTCGAAGAGATGTACTGCATGGTTCGGGGGGAAATGCTCGCGACGATCGATCAGCTCGGACAGCGTCACAAGGCACGGGACCCTGCCGATGTAGCACAAGGGGTGGGTGGAAGAATCGTGTGCTGACATCATACAAACGTGGCAGGTACGTGACAAAGCCAATTAACCCCCTCGTGCTTCCAAGCGAAATGACGGATGCTCAACGGAGAAGCACTTCCTACTACTACAACACAATACACAACCAGACCTGATGTAATTCTTGATGAGCCGCATGTCCATGGAGGAGCCGCAGTAGCCATGATGAAGGACAATCACGTGCACTCCCACGCCTGCACCGCATCCATGTTCCTCCTCCTCGTCCTCCTCCTCGTCCTCCTCCTCGTCCTCCTCTTCGTCCTCCTCCTCGTCCTCCTCCTGGTCCTTCTCATCACCACCACCGGCGAAGGCGCGGGTCCGTCGGGGGGGAGACCGCCGCAAAACCCCCGGCGCGAGCGACCCCGCCCCTCTCCTCCTCGGCGACAGGCGCCGACCCCTCCGTCGCCTCCCGCCGGCCTCGCCCTGCCTGAAGAAGGCGCCGAGGTCGCTCGACTGCTCCACCCCGTCCAGCAGCGACGGCCTTTCCCCCGGCCGCCTCCCGTTGCCGCCCGTGTCTCCTCCCGCCGCGGAGCTGCTGGATCCTTCGCGGCGTAGCTCCCGCTGCTTCTGCTGCTGCTCCGCGGCCATCGGCTTGAGAGGAGGTCGCGCCGGGGACGCCACCGGGGTCTTGCGCAACGGCGACGACGCCTGAAGTACACTCCCCTTAGCTGGCGTCGAAGGGCCGCGGGGCTTCGGCCCCTCGCCCCCTCGCCGTGAAGATGATGGTGGCGGTGGCGTGCTGTACGGCGTCGGGGGCGGCGGGGGCGGGGGCGGGAGCACGGCCGTTTTGACGTGTCGGCTGTCCGTGAACGCGGCCTCCGGAACCACCCCGGGCGCCGGGATTTCGGTATCACGGTCGGTTGTCTCCTCCGCGCCTTCGCCAGCGGATTCGGCTCCGCTGGCGTCGTTTGAACCGCCGGGGCTGCTACCACCGCCGCTGCTCCCGTCGCCTGCGCCACCCGCATCATCCTCGTCTTTCTCACTTCGGTCACCGTGGTTGCTGCTACTACCGGCGGCAGCAGCAGCGGTAGCGTTACCAACGGCGTCATCCGCACCCTCGCCAGCCGTCGCCGCCGCCGCCGCCGGCGAGCGGCCATGATTTCTTGCCGGAGACTTGGACGATGGCCAGCGCGCCTTACCCCCCGGGGAAAAGAAAACCTTCCCTTTGGTGAGCAGCGGGCTCAGACTGCGGAAAGGCTTCTCTCCCCGCCTCCCGCCTCTCGCCCCGGAGTCCCCGCCGCCGCCGCCGCCGCCGCCGGTAGCGGCGGCTGCCGCCATCGCATGCATCCCAGGCCGAGACGATGACATCGACCTGCCCCGTCGGCCCAATCCCCCGAACCGCTCGACGGCCGCCGCCGCCGCCGCCGCTGCAGTCGGCTTCATCGGAGACTGAGAGCGGGAGCGATCCTCGTCCTCGTCCTCGTCCTCGTCCTCGTCCTCGTCCGTGAGCGCCGGGTTGGCGGCGGCGACGGCGGCGGCGACGGCGGCGGCGGCGGTAGCAACGTTGAGGGTACCCGGGGTACGCGGGCCCGGTGAAAGAGCGCCGGCAGCGGCAGCAGCAGCAGCAGCAGCAGCAGCAGCAGCGCTGACACCACCGACCCTAGGAGATGAGGACGCGGCGCGGACGTGACGCGGGGGGCGCGCCTTCCCCGCGACGGGGGTAACGGGGGCGGTGGCCGTGGCCCGGGGCGGCAGCATGCGTACCGGCGGCGGCGGGGGGGAGTCGGGGTCGCCCGGGAGGCTGGACGCCTTCCTGAAAGCCGGACGGAAGGCGGGCACCCACACCGGTGAAACCGGGGGGCTGGTGCTCGCCACGACCAGCTTCTCCTTGTCCACGGCCGCCACCGCAAGGCTACCACCGCCGCCCGACCCCTGCCTAATCTCCCGCACCGCTTTCCTACCGCGGCCGCTGCCGCCGCCCTCTTCATCCTTGGGGGCATACTCGTACCGCTGAACGAGGCAAACCGGGAGCCCCACGTCGCCGTCCGGAAACATGTGCTGGTCCCGGAGAGGGAGCTTGTAAGGGGCCGAGGCGTCCGCGCACGCCATCCGGACCGCAACCCCGAAATGGTCTGCCGCAATCTCTGGCTCCAGCCGTGACAGGCGGGGAGACCCTGGCTCCGAGGTCGGCACCTTGGAGGCCCAGCCCAAGCCGTCCAGCGCGGGAGACGGGGGCCGGGTGCCCGGTTCTGCGGCGGCGGTGGCGGCGGCCGGGTCCAGAGACAGTGGCTGCGTGACTGACGACGTGTGAAGTGTCGCTTGGCACGCCCAGCGCTGTCGTAGCTGCCGTGACAATGGGAGAGGGAGAGAGAGACAGAGACAGAGACACACAGAGACAGAGAGAGACATAGACACAGAGAGAGAGAGAGACAGAGACAGAGACAGAGAGACAGAGAGAGAGAAAGATCGGGAAGGGATGTTGTTTTCTTAGCTGAGCTCCATGGCTGCTTAAGAGAGCCAGCCGGAGAGAGCACGAGCGGGCGGGCTCTCGCCAACGTCTTCTCTCATCAAGTTCAAAGGAACGACGCAAACCCTCATCGAAAAACGCTGCACACATGCATGCGGCACGACAGGGGTGGGGACTCAAAACAATACGCCCTATAGGGCTAAAAGTATTCTCGTCGGCACACGCTACCCCCGACCGTAAGCAGCATTCCCCCAATCCCCCCACCCTTCTCCAAGAAGGCGCTACGCACTTGTATACAACTCAGGCAACTCATCAGAAATATTGCTTGAATATTACTCCCGTAACTCATCAGAAGTTCTACATGTACATAACTCAGGTAGCTCATCACCTGGGCGAACCACAAGGCAGAGGTTTCCTTCGAGAGCACCGCGCCACACCCAGGGAGCGCGGAGACGAACTCCCTCCACTCCACGAACACCAGCATCGCCAGGGCGTGCACGTCTCGCTCCAGCGCCGAGCACGTCTTGTCGTCGCTGTCCAGCCAGCCCGGCCGCCGCCCTACGCTCGCGTCCCCGTTGCGGGCCTTGCTGACTCCGCCGCAATAACGGTTAATCAGAGCCGGGTACGCCACCTTGGCAGGGGCGGGGGGCATGTAGTACCCGTGGGGTGCCCCCGAAATCGGCGGCGCGCCGTTAGTGCCCTTAGTCCTAGGCGTACCTGGCCCACAGGTGTTGCCTCCTGCAAGCGGGCTTGACTGCTCCTGCTCCTGCTCGTCCTCGCTAACGCATGCGATGTCGGTCGAGGGGGCGAACAGCCGGCCGAGCACCCTTGTTACGTCCTCCTCGCAGCTCGGGTCCGGCGGCACCCAAAGCGGCACCGCGGACGCCGGTATCTCCTTAGAGCCGTCGGCCTCTAGCAACTAAGTTTGCCATGTGGCCGCGTAGGAGGGTGATGTCAGCGGACGGCGAGGGAAGGGCGCGGGGGCACTCGTGGCGTCCGCAACTTGGCAGGCAAGAAAGTGACGCATATAGCCTCTCGAAAAACTCAAAATCTGAGGAGCTTGAGCACCATTTATGAGCCCGAATGAGGACCCCTACATTGGGGCCTATATAGCGGCCATTTGTAGCATGATGCTGGGGGCTATATAGCAAAAGAACGCCAACCTGCGCCAAAACTCCAGGTTCCGAATTGCGGGCGCAAACTGTCGTCTACGACGTCCGTGATTGAACGGCGTTTTTGTTGTCCCAAGACCCATTTCTAGCAGACGGGAACCCCGTGCTTTGTGCTCTCCTGAACCCAACACCTCGTCCGTTGCCAATAGCCTCGGACCTGGCTTTCTCTCTCGATCTATGCAGACCAACCGCTAGACAATGCTATCCCGCCAGAACAAAAAAAGACGCTCGCGACCGGCTCGCGGCAACAAAAAACAACCAAGCCCAGCGCAACCACCACAGAGCAACACAAGTAAGTAAGCATGTTCGAGAAGGCATGCAATCGGAGGAGTTGGGTTAGGGAATAACAGGGTCCGCGTACCCCCTCCCAGTTCTATTTCCCCCCTAAACTTCAGTTCTCGCGGCGAAGACGGTCCACCCCACCTTGCGGAGCCACAACGTCGTGCCCGTTTGCAACTCCAGCGCCCGCATCAGCGGCATCATGAAGTACGAGTAGACGTCCTTCCTCCTCAGCCTCTTCCTCTCGCGCTCCACGCTCTTCGCCACCCTCTCACCCGCCACCGCCGCCGACGCCCCGTCCGCGTCCTCTTTTCCGGCAGACGGCTCGCCTTCCAGCACCGACGGCACCTGTCGCCCCTCTCCGTCCTCCCCCGTTTCGCCCTCGCCGCCCCCCGACACCTCGGCTTGCCCACCGGAACAGCCGACACCAGCAGCGGTCTCCTCGCCAGCCGACGGCGCCAATGCCCCTTCGTCTTCTGCTGCTTCTGCTGCTTCTGCTGCTGCTGCTGCTGCTGCTGCCGATGCTCCTGCAGCGGAGTCGGTCTTGGCGCCCTCCTGCTCTCCAGGTTTCGCTATAGCTGTCGCCGACGCCGACGCCGCCACCGCCGTTTTCGAAGCGCTTCCCTTTCGGCCCCAACCCCATCTCCACGACCCCTCGGCCCTTTTCGGGGGTGGCGTGGACGCATCAGGCCCAGCATCACCCCCGCCGCTGCCGGCGCCATTGTTGTCGACAGAGCCGGCCTTCCCTCTGGCCGCGGCATCGGAGCCGTCGATTAGCGGGCTGGACATCCTCCTGGCTCCCGCTCCTTGCTCATCGTACAGGGAGAACCACGTGTACTTGGGCGTGGAAGGAGACGAGGACAACGCCGCCGACGACGACGGACACGCCTCCTCCGCTTCCGCCCCCCGCGCCGCTCCCGCGGAGGCGTTGATATTGCCGCCGCCGTCCCGCGACCCAAGGCGTACGAGGCTAACCGGCGAGCTCTCCTCCAGATCGGCCTCCTCATTGGCTCCTGGCAACGCCGCCGCCTTGCGCTGTGTTGTTTGTGTCGCAGCGGCTGTTACGTCAGCCTCTAGCGAAGCTTGGGCACCGGCGGTGGTCGACCGTAACGCTACCTCGTCGCCGGTCTTCGGCGCCTCGAGCTTGAGGTTCCGTAGAACCCCGTGCACCTATCAAGCCCAACAAGGATTCCCAGGAGGAAAACACAACGAGGATAGGGAAGGCATGGGTATACTCTTTCCGTCGGCGACATGAAATCAAGCAGCACGTGAGCGATGGCGTGCATGTGAAACGGTCAAACGATTCCAGCACCGCTTTCGAAGAATACCAGCCGCAGCATGAAACATGCCACAGCAGCAGTGAGTGTACTCTCCAACAAACTAAAAGCCCACCGCGAGGTGTCAAGAGCTCGCGCGCTTTGGACGCCCAAAACGCACTACACCAGTATCATCCTCACCATGCAATCCACCCGGACAAAATGGACGCCGCTGAACGTCACAGGCACGTAAGCGTGCAGCCCCCAATGGCCGGCGCTGAGCGATGCCTCGAAGCGCTGCACAGCAACCGGCTCCAAGTCGAGCACATCCTCACCCTCGTCCTCCTCTTCCTCGGCTGCGCCGCCGCTAGCCTCCCCACCCACACCATTCGTGGTGTTCTTGGAGATGTTGTCTGCCTCGAGGGAAGTAAGCTTCGAAAACATGAGCTCCATCTGCAGCACCTGGCCGAAACGAGAACAGAATGCATGGTCGGGGGACGAAGAGATGAAGCAGAGAGAGCTAGCTCCTTTCAAACTAGAGCCTGGCTTGCAATACAAGAGCGGGGCGCATGGTCTGCTGCTACGAAGAGCTGGATCCTTTGTCAACGTTGTATTCGCAACAGCAGGAGCTTGAACATATGAATAATGCTATGCAATTTTTCGGCTTCATCATACAGCGACAGGACGGCGAGTAAAAGCATCCATATGCATAGAAGGTAAATCCCGATCAGCCCCATCCACAATACCCTATCTACTTCCAACGGCGGCGTCAACACCCGAGAGAGATCAAGTCATACATTCGCATGCATATTATGCGTTCTATTATCGCGGTTGTGATGACATGTCTAGGTCCATTTGTTTACTCCTCTTTTGTGGGTAGTTGGCCTGTCGCCACGTAAGGCATCAGTTGGGCCGGTACGGATGGTAGGCGGTACTGAGCAGAGCCCGGAACGGTTTTGAACGTGAAGACAAACGACAACAAAAATACATAACGCAAATCCACAAACAAAGCGACGTGCAAGCGAAATCAGTCCTGTAACACCCAACCAACTCACCAGTGTTTGGCCTGCCTCGAGCCACCGTCTGCCCGCGTCTAGCTCTACCGGGAGTTGGAAGTTGACAACCTCTCCCAGCTCCAGCTCTTCGTCTCGATACCTACACAACATCCGGGGGGGGGTACATCAGGCCCCTCTTCCGCCATGCACCATACTGAGTACAAAACTGCCAAAATATAAAAGATAAAGAAATTACCTCGCGCGCTATACTGTCCGTTCAGTGGCAACCTGCAGATTCCCCTCCCTCCAATTAATTCATGGTCCAAGCGAGGTCGAACGCAGCAGCCACAACAACATCAACCCTGCCACCTACACCGCGGTCGCCCGTGTGAGGAGCAGCACGACCTCTTCTGCGATCTACACACGCACGTACCTGATGACGAACATGCGGGTGTGGTAGTGGTGTCCGTGGACAGCCGGCCCTTGGAGGCGAGGTTCCTGTAACGAAACGGCGGGGGGGGCATAGTATGGGAACGAGCGGGG